TTCGCCCCAGATTAAAAGCAAAGTTACCTTTATTAGTGAAAGCATTTAATTCATTTTCTCACTTTCAAACTGTTCTTTGTCATTTGCCTTCCCACTCCTGCAGCCCCAGTGTGGAGGAGGAACGGCTGCGGGACAGAAACGTTCCTGGTGTGTGGGGCCATGGGCTGCACTGACACAGGATTTTAGAAGTGGCAGCTGTCCTGTGCTGTTTTCCTCTAGTACTCCAAAGTCTGAAGCTGCAAGTTAATAAAGCCCAGCCTTACTAAGAGAGGAGGGTGAGGTAATTAGAAAGTCGTGCTGGGAAATGTCAGTCCTGCCGTTCCTGCGCCGCGAAATCCCCGGATGCGGCGGCCCCGAGCGGGGCTCTGTGTGTGCAGTAAGGCAGGGTCAGGGCACCAGCCATGTTTAATATTCCTGGTGAACTTTGGACCATCACAAGTGCACGTGAGCCAAGAATGCAGGATGCAAACTAATGTGACTGATAGGCTGCGAGATGAATGGTGATTCAAGTATCAGTGCACAGATGGTTCTGATTTGCTGAGTTTTGTAGCTGCTGCAACTGAAGACATAAAATATCCTTCTAGTCATAAATTAGCTCTTTGGAAGCAAAACCTTGGCACCAGAGCTTTACAACCTTCAATTAGTAGGGAAAGAAGTATTTGAATGACTGTGGTATTGACATCTGTAGGCCTGCATAGTAATCATTCCTAATAGAAGAGAATATCTGTTTGAGGGGGTTTTGCATGGCTAATTAACCACCAGTGAGAATATGTAATTTTTTCATGATCTCCTGATTGTCACCTTTCTCTCATGATACAATTACATTTTATTGTAGCAAGTGCCTCACAAACCAATTGTCAGCACTATTTACGTATTGTGGAAGGCAGAACAAAAGTTCATGTTTAATGAAAAGGCACTGGGTTTTGATCTTGGTAATTACAGATACTTATTTTAGCAATTTTATTGACTTTTCTGGTTTTATCACTCTTTTTTTTTTGTTAACAAAACCAAAAGCTACTTTGGTGACAGGACTTGAAGGCTAGGATGGGGTGACCACTTTGTCCTCACTCATTTAAGCAGCTTGTTTTAAGTTTGCACTGTTTTCTGAAGTGACTGGAAGCATCAGGTAGCTGTTAGCTGATCTCCAGCTGATCCTGTTGGATCTCTGTTTCACAGGAGCCTTTGATTTCTTAGTCAGATACTGAATAGTAAATCTTTATTTCCTTCTTATTGCCTGGCCTAAGACTTGACAGTCGGCAGCATAAAAGATGAGCCTGACCTTCCAGGCTGCAGGAGCTGCTGCAATTTGCTATTTGCAAGTGCACAACCCCCCTGGAAAATCCCTGGATGAGGAGTGGCAGTTCTCACCACTCCCGTGGCACAGGACTAAGTGGAATTGGTTCTGATGGCCAGGAACAAGAGCAGAATGTCCGTGTATTACTAAATCTCGGCACCTGTCACCACTTTTTCAGAGAATTCTGTCATGCTGTGTCTCACTTCTTGGAACAGCAGGAACGCCAGGATCACCTGGGTTGTGCTGGAGTGTGTTCCTGCAGTTCTGCTGCTGACACGAGCGAGTTTCCTCCAACAGTCACTGCACAGCAGCTGCAGAAAGGCAATTTTAGGGTTATTCAAAGGACTTAAGGAGGACTTATTGCAAGTAGAGAGGGCAGCAAACTGAACTGGCTCCAAATGTATTGCCCTTTCCAGAAAATGCTGCATTTCAGGGGCCTGGTGCACTCGGTGCTGCAGTCCTGACAAAGTGCTGCATGACAGGCAGGCTCTTCCCACTGCAGCTCTTCATGGCACTGTCTGGAGTGATCCCAGGTCTGACTCTTCATCTCAGCATTCCCTTTGCACCTCTCCTGTTCACCAAACACCTCTCCCATTAAAGAGGCAGCCTAAGAATAGTGGGAGCCACTACAAGCAACCACTGTTGCCTCACTTGCTGCTTGTGAGCAGGATCTGGCTCCAGTGACCTGTGTGAGTGCACCTGCACCAGGCTGGTACAGGAAAGGAGGTGGCTGGGGGTTAATTCCCTTCTGAAGACCAGTAAGTACCAGTCAGGGGATCCTGGAGCAGCAGCTCCTTGAAGAGGATTGTTACAGAGCATGGATTTTAGGATACAGCTCCCTGTATAGTTATCTGAATCCAATCCTGAGATGACATTAAAAGCAGTGGCTACATCCTGGTTCTTTGTTCTGATTGCACACCAAACACAGGTGATAAAATACTAATTGCATTAATTCTCAGATTTGTTCACCACAGTTTTGGCTCTGGACAAATACTTTCAGCTTTCCCCCTCTGGTGAAAGTGCCGGTGTTGGGACCAAAGGAAGTGTGGTGACACCAGCTCTCTGCTTGACTGAGCTTGTAGATACCAGATTAAAAATTAATTACATCAATACCAACCTGTAATTCCATTAGTGGGAAATACGGTCATTTTTAGGTGTAAAATATGCATTTTTTTAAGCACTTTAAGTTCTGTGTGGAAAGTGCAGTTGTTTAAGGTGTGTCTGTGTGGTGAAGATGATTGGGGAATGTGTGGAAATGTTGACCTGAAGTTTATTTTCTAGCATCCTTCCCAAATCCAGCACAACTCTACCTCAGTACTGGTTTGAGGAAAACATTTCCTGATTTTTTAAATGCTGGGAAATATTCTTTTGAGAAAGAATCGCTCTCATTCTGTGTTCTTCTCATGCTGGAGATGGAACAGTTTTGTGTGTAATGCAGGCTTTTTTCACTCTATAAAATGCTCACTGTGCATCCCAGGTTCGCCTAGCAAAGCCTCCACCAAAACCAGCTCAGCCCAAGGGAAAAAAGGTGGAAAGTGGAGAAAACACCTGTCAGAACAAAGGCAATGCTGGGGGAACAGGGACACAACTCCCAGGTGAAGAAAAGCCAAGTAAACTGAACAGGAGGCCTCAGCAAACAGAGCCTCAGCAGGTGAGGATTTGGGCACACAGCTCTCCCAGGAGTTTGCCTGCTCCCTGAGCTCCATGTCCAGCTTTTGGGGTGGGCAAGGAGGAAAAGGGCTTGAAAAAGGCCAAGTGCTCTGTCACAAACCCCAGCTAGTTGGCAGATTTTCAGTGGTTTCCACTATTCCAAACGTGAACCTCAGTCTCTTGTAGCCCAGGGGATGAGAGCCAGGAGGGCAGTACCTCACCTGCCCCAAACCTGGGCTAACTCTGAATGTTCCCGAGTTCCTTTCAGCTCCCAGAGTTACTGTGTGTACCTCCCCAGGCTCCCTTAGCCAAGCCTGCCCCAAGAGCTGTGGAAGTGAAGGAAGGCAGGGGGCAGGAGGACAGCTCCAGCTGCCTGGGCAGGCCCCACGCCCGCGGGATGCGCCGGCAGTGCCAGGGGGAGGAGAAGCCACTGAGATGTTACACCACAACTCTGGAGCCCGAGAACCCACTGAAGGTGAGGGGTTGGGGTCACCTTTCAACAGTCTTGGTGTCCTGAAAAGGAAAGGTCAGCTCTTCTTAAAATAAGGGTTCAAAATCCCACAAAGCCTAAACTACGTGTGTGTTAACTCAGTGTTTGCCACAAACACTAAAGGTCATAGCACTCAATTAATTAAGTTGTTAAATCTGAGGATTTCAGTAGTTAACTAACTCACCTTAAATAATATTGGTAATTTAGTGCATAAAAGGGCTGAATGAATGCTTTCAGTCTTACTCTTCAACTCTACAGGAAAAAAAAAAGATGAAAAAATTAATCAAAGTTTTAGTACAAATAATGCAGAATAATTTATATCTCAGTGATCACCCTGTGCTCCTTTTCTCTGGAGCTTCAGCATATTTTAGTGAAGGGATTCCACCCTGTTTTACCTCCATATAAAAAAATAACTTGGTTAAATGAGGACAGTTTCTAACAGGCACAAAAATGCAACTTGAAGGTAGCTTTATTATTAATCTGAAATTCTTTGCTTCAAGCAGTCTGATCATCACTGCCTGGAGACTCCGGTACAAGCTGGGAGAGGGAAGCAGAAAAAGCACAGCTGTACCTGAGAGCACCAGGCAAGACAGTGGTGAGCAGAACCATCTGGGGAGATGTTTTGGCTGCCAGCAGGGGAGGTAGAGTCTGAAAAGTCAAATTTTTCTCATCGAGGAAAAAAAAAGCATGAGAAGAAAAAAAGGCAGGATTCTATTAGTTTCATTTTGCAGAATTCCTCTCATGTAATTCAGGAGCTTGGTAAAGGAAAACTGTCTAGGAAAGCACAGCTGAAGGGTTGGCCCTTGTGCTAAGGGCCAGTGGAAAAGACAGTCAAGTGTTGGTAAGTGAGAAATGCAAGGGTGGAGTTTGGCTAAGGATGGCATTGCTGCTGGAGAGCCCAAAACCAACAGCCACCACCCTGGCCAGGGAGGACAAGCCCTGTCAGCAGGTCTGTGCTCTCTGTGATAGGTCAGGAGAAGTTCAGCTTCACTGTGAAATGCAAAATTTACACAAATCAAAACAGCACATCCAACTTCAGAGTTGTGTCTCAGGTTCCCAGGGTAAACCTTTATTAGCCCAAAACCAAGGAAGACTGAATATATTAAAGTTTTTTGGAAACAAGTTAAAGAGAATAACATTTCAGCTCTGGACCTCAGTAGTAAATATAGACTATGTATCTTTACCCATACCTTATGTTACACACTTACTATACAATACCCATACATCACAAATTCCAGAGGTAAGGCTCTGTAAGAATTGTATTGCTTTCTCTGGGATAACTTAAATACCCCGGAGTTTTTTCTGATTCACATCTCACTTAATGTTAACAACTTTATTATTACTCTTCTTTTCCTCTGCAGAAAGACACTGCAAGAGATGTGTCACCATTTGACCCCTACAGGATATTCTCAGACTCCCGAAAGAAATACGATCACCTGCTCAGTGCAGTGCGGGCAGTGCCGGCCCAGGCTGGCCCTGACAGCGCCCGCCCTTCCATGGCTGTTGTGTTTAGGTTGGCCTTCACTGACCAAACGTACCCCTACACTGCAGCTGTGCTGGTGCTCCTGCTGCTCATTGTACTGTCCTTGTATCTGCTGTGATGTTGCTGGTTTGGTGTCTCCAGTGTAAGTGCAGTGGTGTTCCCACCACGCGGTTTTTCCTCAGAGTTTCTTCGTTGAAGATTTCAGCGTCAGGGGCTTGAAAAAGAAGTTTTTAAATAATGCAGTCAGTACATACCCTGTGCAGGCACATTCTCCTAAACCTTCCAGATCTGCACTAGTAGTTATGGATGCACTGAACTATTTGTGCTGCTTTCTGTTGCAAATGTTGGGATTCTTCTCAGTGTGTTTTTTTTAAAGTGGACCTTTGTTACAGCAACATTAAAAATATCATAAAGTACAACTGAGTGTGATCTTTAATCACTCTGGCACTGGTGTGTTGTGACTGGTGTGGGGCTGCCTTTATATTGTGTGAGAAACCCTTTTGTTAAACACTGATGCATTAAATGCATGAGAATTTAGTTTACTCCAATGTGTAAAGAGAAGACAGAATTCGTGGCTACTATTTTAAAAAAGAGAATGGAAGGTTAACTTTGATGAAAGATTAACTTTGCTACTGGCTTTGCCTTTTCCTGAGCTCCCACACACCCTTTAGTTCACTCCTATTCCTCGGATTTCCTTACCTTATTGCAGTAGGGACATTCGCCAAAGATGACATTAAAACTCTGCCTGCTGGTAGGAAGGCCTTGTAGCCACTGCAACACAAGGAAGGGGGTTAAAATGCACATTGGTTTCACAGCAGATTTAAGACCCATCTATTCATTAGCAGGGTTCAGCTGATGAACATCTGACCCAGTGCACTGACAGTCAGAGGGGGCAGAGCTGATGTAGGAACTGGGGGTGAGAGGGCAAACGGAAGCACAGTGACTGTGGTAACATCCCTGATGGGATTTTGCTTCATCTGGAACTGAAGTGGGCAATGGTTGTTCTCTAGACCCTGCCAGTTCCTGAGCAGTTGGTGCCATGAACTGCTTTACCTCATAGAGACAAGCCTGGTGGAAGGGCTGTCCACAGCGGGGCTCGTCACACACTTGGTCGGGAGCGGCGCCGTCGAGGCGATAGGCATAGCAGATCCCACAGTCCTTGGCAAAGTCCTGCAACACAGCAGGGTTTGTCACACAGCAGCTGAAGGGACCAGGGGGCTGCTAACACAGCAAACAGGCTCAGCTCTGTCCTTGCTTTCGCCTTCTCTGTTAGCTAGAACCACTGGTCTTGCCTTCAGTATAGAAATGGTTGTGCCACAATGGCAGAGAGTAACACTGGTTCTCAGATGCACAAGACTTTACTGGGTTATATTTTATATCTAGTTGGGCCCATTTTTTTTATTAACCACGATGATTTGTCATTACATTTCACCATTAGACACCAGCCCTCAGTCAGATCTTAATTTAGAAGTTTCACAAGTGAAAGCCAAGCTCGTAATCCGGTGTTAAAGCATTGTCAAAAATTAATTCCCAGTTTTGTTTGAAATGCACCAGTATTTGGATGGCCTCTTGTCCCCTCTAGGCAGCTCTACCTAATTAGAACCAAAGTCATCAACATCCATAACAGAATGTTTGGATTGTCCACATCTCATTAGCTACTCTGGAACTTCCCCTTTCCCTTTTAATAGTGGAGCCTGTTATTAATGGCCTCTGTGCTATGAAGGCCACAGGGAAGTGTGCACCTCTAATCAAAGGTTAACAAGCTCTGACAACTGTTGCTTGAAGTTCTGAAGTCCTTGTGACAACATATTAATCCAATTACCCCTCTTCTAAGTCCCTTATTTTTCCTGGCTGTTACAAAGTGACCATTTAAATGTCCCTTATTCAGAAATAACACCTGATCATTAAACAAAAGCAACTCACGCTTTTTTCCAATACAGCTCGAGATGGAAACTCAATTTCTAGGAGGTCTTTCAAGTTTTGTAACAAACTGATTTCTGGATCCCTGTGGGTGGGAGAGAGGGAGAAAAAGTTCCACACCAGGAATGGCAAACACCATTTCAGCTCCAAGCCTGTTTCACTACGGACACTCACCACAAGTGCATGTTGTTGTTGAGCTTTGTTCTCAGAGGGGCCACTGCTGCAAACCAGGGACAGAACAATCACATCACCCCACTGAACATCCCACATTTCAGGCAGGGGTTGGATTGAAGAAACAAGTGGAGGCTGCTGCCTTACCATGATCTGCTCCAAGGAAATAACACTCTGGAAGCATGTTTGGATGGCGAGGATCTACCTCCACATTCACTGAGACGTTGTTCCCTGCAATGAGAAAGCAGGGAAGGCCATGGGGAAGCTTTGCAGCCAAATATTAGAAAATGGAAACATTTTTAAAAGCCGTTTAAAATTGGTTAAATCAGCCTGGGTTTCACTATGACAAATAATAAAAAAGTTGGGAGGTATCCAAATGGATTGTACAAAATATCAGTATATATGAAATATTTGCATTTCAATGGACTGTAATTCAAAATAGCAACTGATTAAAAAAACCTGCCAGGCTTGCATTTCTTTTAGACTAGTCTTAACATTTCTGAATAATCAGACTCAAGCTAGATGACTAAACCCATTGGAAATCGTAGCAGCACTTTAAAGGTAGCAGAGATATAACTTATTAATTCCTCATTATCTTTTATAGCCAAAAAGAGAAGCCTGAGGACACTATTAAGCAGTGACAGTCAGTGCCCTGCCCAGCACACCTGGGCTGAGCCAACAACGGTGGGGTTTCAAACAGCAAAGTGCAAAGGGAATCTTTTTAATACACAAAATAAGAGTTGTGTCTTTGGGTTTTTACCTCTCAAATCCACTGCATCCCTTCCAACCTTTTCCTACCTATTGCAATCCTCCTGGCTGTGGCGCTCCGGGTGGGATTCTCTGGCTCAAGCACCCAGGTCTTCCCATCGATTTCATCCAGGGCATCCCAGAATTCCTTCAGTGACTCCAGTGCTGCCAGGAACTGGTTGTAAATGTCCAGTAAGGAGTTCTAAGAAAAGAAAACAAATTTCCTATGGTTTCAACCTATGGCCAGAGAGAATATTTAAAAACCAAACTGTAGGTCGTTGAAGGAGTGTTCAAATCCATGTGTGTGTCCCAGTGTATCCTGGGAGCAGAAAACATGGAAGCTCACTGGGTTTTTAGCTGAAACAACACAGGGAAAGCTGTACCCACTTCACAAACACTTCACTCCTGATAGTTCTAACATGTGCTATATATACATCATACCTGGATTTGATAGTGGTTTATACTCCTTTTTTAAAAATTTACATTGTAACTTTAAAAAAACAACTCTAAAATTACAGTAAAATCATCCTTTATCCTCATTATCATCACTGGATTATTATTAACTTTGACATTCTGATATTTAGTCTCTACTTGAGCTGAGCACCACAACAGTGTTACCCAACAGAACTACAGACAAATACCCACAGAACCAAAGGAGCTTCTTTATTTTTTTAAAAAATATCACTTACCATCATCACAATTATCTCAAAATCAAGCAGTATAAAAAACCAGGTGCTTAACATCAGATTTCAAACCATGTAAATAAGGCAAGAGGAGGAGAAACCATCTAATAATCAGAGGATTATACTTGGGGGATTTCAATATTTGAGAGTGGATTACATGGAATCAGAAAAATCTTTCATTAGGCAGGACAATATACAGGACAATGCAAAAGAAAGCCTTTAAATTATAAAAAAAGAAGTAACTATTTCTACAAGGAAAGGCTTCTGCAAGGGGAGAAAACACTTGGTGGTCAAGTGAAGCCCTTTGCAGGTGCCCAGAGAGAGACAGATTTCAGATACCTTGGGGTCCAAAAGAAAAAGCAAATTAAATGTTCTGCTCTCAGAGAGGTATTTTTCTATAAATAAAACCAAATACAGAAGGAATGGTTTCCTTTAATCTGCAGTGATTATGTTTTTCCTTTCTCACCTGGACAAAGAGAAGCGAATTATCTGAGCGTTCTGAGATGAAGAAATAGGCTTTTTCTCTGTAATAACTTTTTATATTTGGTGATACATATTTTAGAAAGAAATGGCACAGCTTAGAAATAAAATGCTACATTTTTTCCTGCTGTTATTAAATTATATTAAAGTAGGAAAGCACCTAAGCAGAAAAGTGTGAACACTGCCAATCTCCAAATGTAACGCTTATTATCTTTAAAAGCATTTTGTTACTTTTATAATACCTGAAGTGATATAATAGTGTCAGTCACTTAACCACATCTTAGAGTATGGTATCTTCATCTTAAGTACTATTATTTCCAGTATTTTAATAATTTTCACACAGTCCTGAAATGTGATCTTTTGTGCTCTGATGACACTTAAATTAATAGCATAATTTTCTGGTACTTGCAACAGTTGCTTTCCATTTTGATTTTTTACATTTTTCTATATCACATACAGATAAATCCTCTAATAATCATTTTTATCTTTATCTTCCGGGAATTCAAAGGGTTTCACTAGAAAAAAGAAACATCAAGGGATTATAACCCACAGATAAGTTTTAAAATCCAATTAATTTTAATACTAATTGTAATTTTTCAATGATGTTCCTTAAAAAGGTAGTTAAATCTTTTTTTTTTTTATACACTGTTCATTTGATCTTATTTGCATGCTTCATTGATGTTGCCAGCTGTCTCCTGCTATAGACATAAATGCATCTATAGCTATTTAAATATATCACCTGCTTGTCATGCAAGCCATGAAAACCCCAACATTCCTTTTTATTTGATTAACAACTAATTTTTGGTCGTTGCCCAACACTTTTAGAGCAGCCTGACTGTGCTTTTCTTTGGCCTCAGCTACACCAAGATGGTTGTTAATAATGTCAGGCAGCACCAACTCTTTGTTTCGTGGTCCCTTTTGTGCAAATGTGTTGGAATTTGTGTGAAATATGTCCAAATTCTTTGGAAAATAAGACAGTGATAAATCAGACTATCAATGCTGCTCACCCTGACCCAAAAAGCACTTACAAAACCAGACTGGTTCCTTCCTAAACACTGATTTTAATGGTTCCTCAGCCAACTGTGAGCCCAAAGTTCCCTCTGTGTTATGACTCCCTATATCCCTCATCCCTTTCAATCACTGGTACAGGATGGAGCACTTGAGTTTGTCCAGGGAAATATTAAATCAAATATTAGTAAAAAAAAGTTCTAATTAAGGTAAATACAGCACAATTGATTACAAACTATTTTTCTTAAAAAGATAAAAATGTGATCTTTTAGCTAAAATTCTTCCTAGCGTGCAAATTTGCTTTCCCAAAATTAAAACAGCTGCAAAAGCCCCCTAATGGAAAAGGTGAAGTAGCCTAAACTATAGGTGCTGGCACCTGCTTGCCCTTCAGGAATTCACAAATAAAATACAATTTAACAAAGCCAACAGCTGTTGGCTGGGAAAGGGATCACCTGTATCACCTAAAAAATTTGTGATTCTTAAGATTTGTTAGGAAACTGTTTCCCATGAACAGTAGTTTAACATAATCTCCCCCCTCCTTAACCCAAATCAAAGCGAGACACAGCACTGAAATCTTTATAAAGTGTCTTGTCAGCCACCTCCTGTTTACAGCTGGTGTCTGTGAAGCTCCTTTGCCAAGAAAAAGCAAAATTATGAAGTGTTTTATTGTGTTTTCATCAAAATAACCAAAGAATAATCTCATACATACACTACACCTCCTGAACCCTGTCTCACTGTTTCCTTGCCTGCTGCTGCACGACCTCATTAGTCATGAATTCCCACTCTCCTGACCTTCATGTAGCCCCCCAGGTGGGCAGTGGGCAGCACAGAGAGCCCCCCCCTGCCGCGAGGGCAGCGGGACAGACACCCTGAGCCTGCAGCACCACCCCTCCAAAAGGGGCTAAAACTGGAGCCAGCACATTCATGTGGTTCTTCAGGGAAAGGAGAGAACAGAAATAAGTAGATGTTCTTGCACTTGTCATTGAGAAGCACTCTGCATTTATTTGGCACTTGGAGCAGGAGCAGCAGCAGCAGCATTGCCCTTGGTGCTGATTTCTTACCACTCTAAAACGTCTCCTCCGAGCCAGAATCCACTGGCTGTTGCTGCTCATGCTGTGAGACACCTGCACTGGCTACTGGGCTTGTCATGACGCACAAAACCCCACCATCTTCAGCTTGACATTGTGCAAGTTATAATTATTCATCCAAATGAATATGTCAGAGCAGCAGCAGCAGACCTCTCATCAGCGCAAAAGAAAAATACATCAAAACATTATCAACCCAGCAGGAAGACAGGGACCATAAGGAAAATTACCCATTTTTAATATGGATGCCATAAAGCCATGTCTATTATTATACAGAAGGGGAAAAAAAAAAGAAAAGACAAGAAAAAAAAAACCCAACCACCCAACAACCCCTCAAGTTTAAAGTCCGTGAGCCTGAAATAGGCAGCAGCACACGCAGGGGGTGGAAAGAAAAATCAATTACCTGAAATCTATTTATATTTTCTCTCATAGGAGTTTATATTCTAATGGTGCAATTGCCCCGTTTTAGTTAAGCCTTGTCAGTTTATACATTAAAGAAGACCAATAAATAGTAAAATGTAAGACCTATGGGTGCCAAAACATCACGTTATTTTGTTAGAGAACAGGTATCGCGTGTTCTTTTTCCCTTTTAGGAACCAAAATTTCCAGCCACTTGAGTACCAGCTGAATTCTGCTGCCAGGGGTGTTTCAGCATTATCTAAGCTTAACCCATATTTTAGCACGGTGTGAAGGCTGCTCACTGCAATGATTTCCACACATTTGGAAAATAAACACAATTTCCACAATTACCACAGCCATTTGTTGGGTTCATGTCACCCACGCAGACAAGGTCAATGTTCCAAACCTCCTGTACAGCTCCAGCCCTTCTGTCAGCACAGAGCACGGGCTGCTGGGATTTGGGGCAGGATTAGAGCAGCTCTCTGCAGCTGGAATTACTGTCTCCTGATTTCAAAACAGGCTCTTCAGTTACACACCAACATCTATTGTTCGTGTTTTCAAACAGCCCCCAGGTAATTCTAACTGTAAAAAGAGTTTAAGCATCAGAATGTTGTATTTTTAACATTGGATTTTCCTTGGTTGTAGTGCCAATATTAATATATCCAGCCCCGTTTTTAACTTGTCAAAGGCTGCTCCGTGTCATGTTCTTCAAGAACATTTTATTAAATTACAAGTCCTGCCAGTAGCTTTAAAATTACTAACAGCAAACATGGAGAAGCAGTGACTGTCAGGGATATTTGAAGCGTTGTTAATTTGAGGCAACATAAATTGCAAGGCTGTAAAATTAATAAAATACTGTTAAAACTATGTATAAAGTTTGAGGTTAGAAACAGCACTTGAAATCCTGCCCATAGTTTATGGACTCCAGTAGAATTTAGGGGAAAACCAACATCTACTTAAACTGTTCCAAACCACCCCAGAGAATCAAAACCTAAATTTACACGTGAAACTAAATATATTTTCATTTGCAATGCTTGCTCAAGCTCTCAATATTAGAGGGGGACACACAGAGCCTTGAGCTTTGCAGTCAAAATTATATGTCCAGCTTAAACCCCTCCTACTGCAACCTTCCAGCCAGGAAATTTAGTACCAAGACAGGCTTTATTGCTGGGGGGAAATCCTTGGGAGAGTTGGAATTAGCAGATGCAATCATTTATGTAAAATCTATTTTCTCGAATTAAGCGAAATTAAACATCAACTATTTTCTAGAGATAATTCAAATTAACTTACATCTAAGTGGTCACACAAAATTCATTTAATAAAGTACACATGATTTATTCAGGAAAAACGGTACATGAGATAATGTGAGAGACTAAAAAAGGACAACAGCTCGTGGTTCTTTATAGTAACAATACCAGTCAAAATAAGAAATCAGAATTCCACTAAATACTTCCCTGTTTTGATTATAACTGGATTATAAGTTTTATTATGTTATGAAAATTCTACAGGATAACCAAGTGGGGGACTGCCTTTTTTTAATGCCTGTCAACTTTAGAGGGTGCTTCTTTTCTAGAAGACAATCGTTTTTCATGCATTTCACTTCATTTTCCCTTTCCCAATGTAATTCCTAAAGAAATTTCAGCCACATGAACAGCTTAAAAAAACTCAGCCAGCGTGAGCGCAGAGATACAACATGCAAAGTGTATCTCCATGGCAAGGAAGAGATTTCAGATGCTCTGATCAGGAATGCAGAGTTCAGTGTTGTTACATTTTCCTGGGCATGCAGAGAAATCAAATGCACACAGGGAGAAAAGCTGGAGTTAAAAAATAAAGCCCAACCCCCTGGTTACCACCTCCCCACTGCACATGTTAGTAAAGAAAAGCTGCCCAGTCCAGCAGGTACCTGTGGCATCCAGGAAATGGCAAAGGGAACAGGAAAATCCACCAGGCAATCCGGGGGTTCTGTGGGATACTGAGGGAGGGAAAGAAAATACAGTTTTTTCGTTTCTTTTTTTTTTCCTTAGTGATTTAAAGTCAGACCGATACTCAGCTGCCAAATTTGATAACAAAATACAAGCACTTCAAGCATCTTGAGGACGTGGCTTTGAGAGGAAACAGTATGTAAAGCATTTTCAGGAGTAGTTAGGAATGTTAATTATCATTTAAAGAAGAACTCTACATGTAAATGCTTTTAGTAAAGGCAGGAGAATCCCAGTTTTCTGTGTTCAGTGGTCACAAGGACATATTCAAAAAACCTTAAGGCAAAAAACATCATTTTTTTTTCTAATTTCTCCTCAATTACCTGTACTGGGAAGAAAATATAGAAACCCAAAAAACCCTTTCACGAATCAACAACTAATTTCCATTTAAACTAAACTATTTGCTCTGATTGGCAAAATTTTATTTTTTGAAACTGAAAGTAATCTGAGTAAGCACAAAACTATTTAAAAAGAGATAAGTGAACGTACACCCAAAATTAAAACAAGCCCTTAGTCCAAATTAAAATATATCTGAGGAAAAATAAAAAAGCTGTATTAAAAAACCTGAAGTTATAAAAGGTTTGATAACTCCAATCAGAGCATATCAATGACATCTTAGGTTATTAGTTACAATCAAATGTGTATGTCAGAAATCATGCTATTATTCTTTAGAACAATTTAAGCTATTAATAAACAAAATACTTATACTGGATTTCTAAGCATGCAACTAATTTCACCTAGAGAAAGCATTTTCAGAACCCTTGCCAAATCATTCAGATAATTACCAAAGTGTCTTAATTACTACATGACATGCAAATCCTTGCAGTGGCCTGTTTGAATCCTTGGGGTCTGAAATGCTCCCACACTAACCTTAATCAAAGAAAGAGAATAACAAAAATAACCTGCTTTAATGAAAGTATGGGTATCAAAAGAGATTCCTTACAATAAATACTTCAGCCAAGTCTTTTCAAATGTATTAGATACATGTATGAAGGAAAATCAAACCCCCAGGTCACCAGACCCACATTTCACACACAAATTTTGTCTGGCGAGTTAAAATGCCAGACGTGGTTTAAAAAGGACAAGCGATCGATCCCTCATCACAACAAACACTTGGAAACAAAACAAAAACAAGAAAAGAGATGGATGATTACTTGTTTAAACAGACAAGTCAGATAATCTGGTCCTTTTATTACATATATCCTTAGTTGCTAGATGGTCCTGTCTCCTGCTATGAGGAGTACCCAGATATTTTACAACAATAAAGAAAACACCAGTTTTTACAAGGATATAAAATGGGAATCTTTATTTTCCCTGAGGACAGGGATAAGTTAAGGCTGAACAGAACCAACCTAAGTGTCACAGTGTTTGACCATGGCTTGGTAAAAAGGAGCATTGCACTGTATTTTTTTCTGCACTGTTTTGCTTCCAAATAGTTAAAACACTTTACTTCTGTTGTCACAAGAGCAGGTAAACCTTTGAGGCAACAGGCTGCACCTCATTTCTAGTGTCACAGAGTGGGAGAGCAGCTCCCCTATAAACAACACAGTCTGGTGACTCTTGTTGAACACTAAATAGACCATAATTGTACTTCCTGATGGATTTTTTCCATCAATGTATTTAATAATGGACTGACTGGCAAATTAATTATGCATTCATTACTCTGTGCATGTAGGATAATTTTACTCTTTTTAAAAATCCACTTGAGCAACCCTCGATTCCCAAACAGTTCTTTTTCCATAGGTTCCTTTCCCCCCTCTAAGGTAAAATTAGCTCATCTTATGTAAGAGTAAAAAACTCATGGTATTTAAAGAAATATGGGATGCTTGTGAAAGTGAAATCTAATCCTACAATGGGCACTCCTCATGCCTCCAAGATTGTTACTCCAGAGGATGTACCAAGGATAGTCCCAAACAACAACATTCAGACACGTTTGGATCCACTTTTTCCCCTGGCCTGATTTTCTGAAGACAGACAACAGCTCTTGCCATGCAATTGTCACCACACAGCCTGGACAGTCACAGTCTCAGATGAGAGATTTATGCCTTGAAATGAGACATTCTATGAAGAAACGTTGCAATTCCAGTTCAGTGCTTAGTACCAGGAAGAATTAAGATCTTTCTGTCTCTGCACACACCGTGGATTTGATTTGCAAGTGCTGTCAAAATTAGGCAATTATTTAGACTAAAAAGAAATCATTTTTCTGACTGAATTCTGCAGTCAGTTTTTCATAAATCTTTACATCTATAGCTTTAAAAGTAGGAGTTGTTAATGAACAACCCAGCATCCTCCAATTCACGTGCTGTGCACAGTCTCTGGGTGGAGTGATAATGAAGGAAAGTCTCCCAGATGGTTTTGTCTGTAATCCAGCAAAACGATGGCAATATCATAAAGTGTTTTTCACGGGATGCACAGTTGCATCTTGCAGACAACCATAATGCAACATTAATTTTAAATATAGTTAAAATCTGAAAACTCTCTATAAAAAAATTTCTCAACTCTTACTTCGCAGAACACATTAACAAACAAACCAACTCTCTAAACCAGTTAAGAATTACGAAAACCCATTTATTTCAAGGAAGCCTGAAGGTGTTTCTCTCACATAAATTTACCTTTGCATTTAACTTGAGAGTGATGAGATGCTGTCGACCACAAGAGTCTTCAGCTTTTAACTTGACTGCGGTAAGCCCAGTGTCCACGTAGGCAACTCTGGAAGAGAAAGGAAACTCTTGGAGCCCGGGCAGAAGTGCAGTCTGAAAGGTGTGTGCAGTGATTAGTGCGTTACAAATATTAATCAGAGAAGTCCTCCATGCCAGGCAGTTGTGCTGCTGCAGATTTACTGCTGTTAATGCCCCAGGCTGGTGCTTAATGCAGCCCATATATCTGGGGGTTATTTACAGGCAGTGTCAGGCTCACGCTGTGGTCAGTGAGCAGCGCGTTGCAGTTTTCCATCACTGGAACCTTTGACACACACAGCATGTTCCTGTCAGCCTCTACTTATGTACACATTAAACTTCCTGTCAACTCTCTGATCCATTTCTGCACTTTCTTACTCCAGCAGACTTTTATGCTCTTGATTTGCTTTGCTCCTCCACGGAGTTCTCTTTTATTATCAATGCTGTTACTGGAGGAAATTCAGTGGGTATTGGTTCATATTCTGAAATTGATTTTCTGCAGGAAATAGAGCCCAAACAGGTACAAAATGAGTTATTTATGATGATTTGCCTTCGTTTCATGACAGCTTTACACTGTGTTCATGTATCCTAGCAAGCAGCAAGCAGATACTAAATGTAAATAAGTTTTAAAACTTCTGCCATAATCACTGAGTCTTTGCTTAGGATGGCACTGATTTGTGCTTCCCACCACAATGAAGATGGATACAACTGTAAAATACATTGTTCTCTAGAAATGGATTCTGCTGTGTAGATTCAGCAACTGCCAGAAAGGTTCAAACTTCTCCATATACTTACCAGTAAACTGGACATGTGGGTATTTTGGCATTTTTACCATGTCATTCTTGTGTAAAGATAAAAAGCGGTGCAAGATAATTGCCCAACTTATCACCCAGACTGATGGAAAGGCCTATCAGAGTTCAAAGGGAGCATTTCTTGCTGGCCTAAGTAACATTTATTTTTTTAAACCTAGACCAGTCACACAATTCTCTCCAGTGAAACTGCAAAGGAGTTGTAGAAGCTTGTACAAAAAAAAGTAGATGGACACCAAAGGGTGGGCACAGCCCTAGAAGGAAGTGAAAAGAAAATTCCTCAATATGAGGGAACTGAAAAATCCAGGTGGAAAAAGCAATAGTAGTAGTAAGAGGGGAAGGAGAGATATTATTTCATGTATAATCCTGATTAAAGCAATATTAAAGAGTCCTACAGATTTCTGTATTTGTGTTGAAAGAAAGACAAGTCTGATAGAAGTGTAACTCAACTGCAGTCAAACTTGATATTAGAGCATTCTTCCTCTCATTGGGAAAAAAAATCATTACTGCCACTTTGCTCCAACTTTACCTCAAAATTGAATCACAGAGTTTTAGAAAGACAAGAAACTACCTGTATCCCACCCTGGCATCTGCTGTTGGCTGGGGTGGGGAATTCCTAAAGCAGCAGCTAAGGCACAGCTTGGATAGTGCCCAGAACAAAGCCCAGCTGGTGCCTGCAGCGCTGGGAGGCTCCACCCCGAAGGGAACAGAAAAATTAAGGGGCCACTGTCAAAGTGTTTGGGATTTTAAATTATCTCTTCTGCCATTCATCTTGTTTGGCCCACTCCATTCTTTATTTCTAAGAGAAGTATAGGTTATTTTAGTTCAAAATCAAACATTTTGCAGTTTCTTATTCTGCATCAAGTGGGAGGGAACCCGATTAAAAATTGGTTTTATTTCTTAGCCAGCAATGGACTTACATATCCTAATATCTCTGAAACCCTTAAGGGTTCAGTACTTTCATAATTAGTTTAGCAACCTGACAATCTCTAGAATAACTATACATACATGTCTGCACACATATATATTTAAAAATATATTAAAATATAGTGACAATATGTTTACTCATATTTGTAAAGAGCCTTCAAACTCATTTTTATTGACAGTAGACAAACTCCAAAAAAAAGCAAGCATTTGGAGAAGGTGCTCAGAGCACTAACAATGGCTGCCTGGTTAATTATTTATAGAGGGATGCATCAAAGTTCTGTCCATTTTCCAATTTTTAACTTATTTATAGGTTTAAAATTCCAGTTCCATAGGACTGGAGAAAGTTGGACAGTGCTGTAAAAGTCCTATAAACTTCTTCCCATGATTGTATAAATACATAGGGAGTTGTTTACATAGGTGATATTTCAGTTATACAAAGTTTTGCTCCTCTGTAGGATCCATCATTTCATCATTTTACGTCTGGGAAATTTGAGTTGAGTGTGGCACAACTACATATTAACAATGGAAATCACTGAAAGAAACTTCAGCTGATTTAACAAGGATGTTTTAACTCTTTAAATGAAAGTGGGCCTTCAAAGCAACTTCCTACTTCATGTTAATCACATGTTATTTGTGATTAACATGTTTATCACGTTATTTATATACAAATCAGGTGGGAAAACTCAAAATTTTTCTCACACCTAAGGCTTCTTGATTTCATTTAGCAAAATATATACCTGTTACAGGTAAATTACCACACAGGACTAAGAGGACAGAGGATCTGCCTCATGGAAAAGCACAAATATGGGCTTTTATTTAACTGAAACAAAAAAGTAGCTTCTCATTCAAAGCTCTGCAACATCTTAGAAAATCTTCCATCTTAACCCCTTGAAGGAAGGCCCCGTGAGATTAACTGCATATTATTAAAGACAAGATTCAAATATGGGTTTTTAAATCTTACACACACAGAGACAACTCTCTTCTTCAACCCCATCCAGGTCTCCTGGAGGTTCCAGGGGAAAGGACAGAACTCTGTCCATTCCAGGCTCTGGATCAGGATCAGGGAACTCACCAGTGGTGGCAGATGTGATGGTAGTTAAAGCCTTTCAAGTCCATAAAACAAGATTCTCTGGAGATTTTTGAAAAATCTCCACATGGCCCTTGAATACTCGATCACAATGTGTGTTCCTTCACATTCCCAGAGAAGGTTTGAGGAGAAAAACCTTGTTTTCCTCTGTAGGAGGGTGAATTATATTTGCTCTATGAGCTCATCTGAGAGTATATGTTACTGTGAATACTCTTATGAAGTTCTGGATTTACAGCTTTCCAAATTCTCCCCTCCACTCACATTTTTTTTTTTGGTAGATTTACCTTTCTGTGGGTTAAATATATCATATTTTTGCCTAAGGAGATCCTTCTGCTATGCAGAGCAAAATAGAACTGTTCTTTAAAAATAACTATTCTAGTTCTAAAAAATGTATGAACTGATTTTATGAAAGCACAAAGGTACACGATGATCAACCATTGCCTGTGGGAAGAGTCAAAAAAAAGCCTTACAAAGAAAGGAAAAGGAGGGGAAAAAGGAGAACTACAAACACTAACAGTAAATATATTTACTATATCAATAGTTTATAGGTCAAGAAGAATTGATTTCTTAGTAGTAGCATCTCACCTTTCAGCTCAGTTATTTGAGACAGAAAATACACCTTCAGTTGATACACGTTTGTTATATTGGTTTTTAATTAAAAACAAATCAACGGAGTTTTTAAAGCAAAATCAGTTTCTGAATAGGGTAAATACCAGAACAAGTACATTTGACATGTTCAACTCACCAAAAAGGAATGGATATGCTAAAGATGTTTGTTAAGAAATAAAATAAACATACTTATTCCAGCCCAGTATTTCCAGATCTCTGACAAGACAGGAGTAGTATTCTGGTGGCCGTGGTACGTGCAGGTCTTGTGTGTTCTTTAAAGCAATTTCCTGTTTAAAAGAACATTAAAAACATCATTAAGAGAGATTTCAATATTTTTGCATCTATTTAGCCATGTGATTTTTGCAATTCAATCAAAAATATTAAGCTTATGTAAAATTAACTGTACACTGCATTTGTTTTGTTATAGCCTCCAGCTAAAGCAGACAAAGAGGCTGTTTGGGAAATTACTTCAGATACTGGTAATGAAAACATCTGCAATTTAAAAAAACCCCCACAGATGTTGACAGCATAGTCTTCAGATGCAAATATCAAATGTGCCTCTTTTTCAGCTAATAAATTTGAAGTCAAGCATCTCAACTGAATGAACATTTCAAAAGAAGGTTCCATTAAGCCCACAGCTGCCTCCTGGGCTCCACAGCCACAAAAGAAGATACATCTATGAAATCCTTCATTATATATATATATATAAACTTTATACAGCAATCAAAAAACAAAATCCATTTCTCAATTTTAACACCATAGAATCCCAAGGAATAAGTTTTGGTGCAGACAGTCATCTAGCATGTTGCAATGTCTCAAAAAGATTTTATCAAAAAGGTAATTCCACGTTATAGAGAAAAATAAAATCAAATCATGTTTCACATTTGCGCTGTGATACTTGTTCTTTAAAAGTGTTCTAAAGTTAAAATTATGCTTACAGGAGAAGTAAATTGATGAAATTTAGAATAAAATTATTAATTTAAAATAAACTGAATTTAAATAAAAATATAATAAAATGAGTTCAACAATCATTTCTGTCCAGTTCTCCCACACTATGTTTTTACTCTCTGCACTATCTGAGGATCATCATTTTGAATGAATTACACTTTCACTGCATTCTCATTTTCTGAGTGCTTGTGTATCCAGGCAAATGGATCGGAACAACTATAGTGAAATATTCCAAAGCAAACATCCTCACTCAGTCCCATTCCAAGCATAGCAGAGCAGCAGTACCAGGAGGGAGTTGTGCTGCCTTTCTGTTTTGAAGAATACTTCTTGTGTTTCATTCCTGAAGTTAAGCTGGTTGGATGAAGAATTGTTCACCAACAATGTTCATAGAATGTTTTACTACCAGGCAAGAATTGGCTGTATAATGTTGTTAACCAAAGATTTTGCTACTCTTCAACCCCAGACTTGAAAATCTTTTAAAAGAATCAAATGCAGCCTCTGAACTATAAAAAAAGCTCTCTGCATTTATTGGTCGAGTTGTCACAGGGGAAAGCACCTTCAGCAACCCACTGACTGTATAAACCTTTGTATGACTACAAGCTTTACCATCTGGACAATACCAGGAATTCCAAGAAAATCCCTGTAAAGAGGATGGCTCTTTATTGAGACTCCTTGCTGGGATTTCAGTTTTTCTATAAAAATTTCCCAAGAATACAGTCACTTAAAATCTTAAATGATATTTATACAACTATTACATGAACAGCACACGTACAAAATCATCTCTTCTTAAAAAAAATCTATCCATTGCCATAAATCTATCAAACAGTAACCTGTAAAACAATGAGAGTGAAACCCAAAGCTCTCAGAACATCCCCTGTCCCACAAATATATTTTGTCACCTACCAAAACAGTTCTCAGCTCCACCATAAAACTGACAAGGTCTGGGCAGCTGTGGAGCCTCTGCAGGAAACACAACATTAGTTCATTTTCTTCAACTCATAACTTGTAGTAGTTCAGTCCAACTTTGTAGTACTGTCAAATCAACAAAGATAAAAAGCCCTAACTGTATATCATAAGTTTAAATATTTCAATTACAGAGCACGGGAAACTTCACTGAAAAAAACTTTACTTGACTGTATACAACACAGGGTGAAGTAGGCCTATCAGTAATTAACATGAATTCTCTTCTTTGCATAATGAACAACTTGTAAAAAAATAAATATATAAAAAAGACAAACTCTGTTTCTAATTGAGACATTAAAGAAAAATTCCAGTAAAATGTCAGCAGTCATTTATTAAAAATTGTTCTAGCTCAATCTTCAAAAACAGATTAAAGCTTGAATAAAAATAAATATTTACTAAATTCTCAGGCACTTGAAAATAAATCTTGGCTACACAATGAAATGAGGGTTCTTTAACACTTCTAGAATAGCTGTACGAGCGTAACCTCTTCAGAAATATTATAAATATACATTTAAGAATATATTTGAAAGAAATGGTTTTAAACTTGTATACCTGCTTTAAAATATGCTGATATGGATGCAGGATCTTCTTCAGACTCCAGCTGCACTCTATCCTGAACAAACAGTATTTTATATAAATTTTAAATTCATAGTACAGGATTTTTAAAGGAGAGCAGAAAACCTGCTGCACACAACAGCACAACAGTTTTCCTCAAAAAAAACCAAAGGAAGTAAACAATACTTCAAAACAGCTTTGAGTTCCTTGTTCAAAGTTACTTAAAACTTCCAAATGTCACTATCCCAAAGCCCATTAAAAATTAAGCATTTACCTGCAAAAGCCTGTTCTTTGCTGGAGACAACAACATAATTCTTGCAAGCTACTGCGCCGTCATAAAATACACTAATATTTAAAAGTGATAACCTGGAAATGTCAAAGTTACCTTTAATGCAGTTTTAATTACCCAACCTCGACTATAATAAAGCCATGGAACACCCCATCTGCTCACAGTTCAGAGCGGGCTGGCCTAGGCAGGAGTGTGGAACACAAAGTTAAAGGCTAAAAATCCATGGATGTGGATTAGCCCCTTCCACCTCCCTTCCCACACAGTGTATAAATACAGTAATAAGAGCAGAGCTTTTAGAGAAAAGTTGGGTAATGCAAATTAACACACAATCAGGAAAGAGAAAATTTTACACTGAATTTTCTGTTTCCCAAACTGTGACATATAAATAATCTAAGTGACCGTTTTTTCCCCGAATACGTTGCTTCATATATAAATACAACCAATTAATTGCAACAAGTTTCAAAGTTAATTAACAACAAAATATATTGATATAGGCAATGTTTATTGTCAGCATTTATTAACACTGATGCCGTGCAGTTCTGTTGCAAAGTTGAAACCAGTAAGAATTAATTAATAACACTGATACTGGAGGAAAGAATGATTAATGTGCATGTCCATCATTGCTTTTATCAAAATAAACTTTGTTATATCACACTTAGAAATTGCTTTTGTAAAACTCTCTCACCTTGCATTTTTCAGTTGCAAATCCTCTGGTAACAATACCCTGATGTGGAAATCTCTACCCTTGAAAAGAAACAGTTAATAGGAAGGTCAGCAAAGAAAAATATTAGAGGCTTCTGGGAAGTGTTCCCCATCAGATCAACTACTAAGAAAGAAACTTTGTCTTATCTGATTTTCAGGAACATTATTCAGAATTTCTTTATTTAGGGATAAAAAGCAGCACAAATGACAGGTACAAGTAATGCAGATTTTAATCCTGAAGTTGAAACACTCTTGATGTTTAATTCACAATATTCAGTAAAAACTCTTCAGTACATCACATCTCATAAAGCAAAAATAACACCTTTCAGAAGAAAAATAAACATTATCTAAATCTGGACAAAACCAAAAAACATAATTTAATCCAAGTCATGCTGCAGTACATGAAAGTCTGTCTTCAACTCAACTAAAAGACAAAACAGACTCATGTCATGAAGTACTACACTAAAAAGAAACTTGGGCACTGATCCACAGCACATTCCAGCAAGGTTTTAGAAACTGTAAACAAAAACAGTCCCAAGAACATGAATGAAATGTTTTCCTCTTAGTGCAATCCATAGGGGGCAGCTCCCAAATGCCACCCACTTGTGTTTTCAGTCCCTCTTGAGATCTTCCTTCTGCTTTCTTATGGGATGACCAAACTAAAACTGGCATCAAGAAGGTTTGTGAGTAGGTTCAGCTCCTCCCTGAAGTGAAGAGGGCAGATAACTCATGTCAAAACTTTAATTCCAGATGCTGTTCCACTTCAGCACACTTTGAAGTATGGAGTGCTGGTCCCCAGCACAGGAAAGGTTTGGACATACTGGAGTTAGTTCAGAGAGGAGATATGAAGGTGATTTAGAGCTCAAAGCACCTCTGACACCAGGAGGGCCTGAGGGAGCTGGGACTGGGTAGCCTGGAGAAAAGAAGGATCAGGGAAGGATCCTGTCAGTGAGTACAAATACCTAATGGAGAAGGAACAAAAAAGGTATAGCCAGATCTGAGTGACACACACTGACAGGATGAGGGGTGATGGATATAAGCTGAAATACAGGAGATTTCACCCAAACGCAATAGAAAAACCTCAGTAACAATGAGAGGAGTCAAAGACCAGAACAGGCCATCCGAGAGGTTGCACAGTCTCTGTGCTTGGAGAACTTCACAACCTGATTGCAAATGGTCTTGAGCTCCAGGTGATCCTGGCAGAGGAACTCCAGAGGTTCCTTTCAACCTCAGTGTTTCTGAGCTGAATAGAGCCCACTCACCAGCAACACCAGTTGCTTCCAAAGGTGATGTTTAGTGCAAGCCTAATTTAAGTATATAACCTCAGACATTATGGCCTTAGCACTCATTAAAAATCACCTCTGATAACAGACACTCTTATCTGTATCTTAACCTTTCCATTAATTCCAGGATGAATTGTAACACACAGAGCACTTCCAAAGCCGCAGTTGTTAAAGTATTGCAAACATAAGCGCACCTTTGCACATGTCTAGCGAAACTTGAATAAAAAAATCACCCAAAACCCTTTGGATTTTGACCACCAAACTACAATTTTGACCACGCGAGTGTGACACAGCCCACACCTTTTAACTTTTACTTATTTTCAGAGGAAGAGAAAAACACACTACTCCTAAATTAAAATACGCCTGTTCAGAGCTGTGTCTGGGTGATATTTCAGTGCTCCAGGCCTGCCGGGTCACGGCACAGTGTCTGTGATGGCAGAGTTTTGCTGAGAGCACCCCTCTGCCCCTGTCTCAGCAGCTGTTCTGCTTCCTGCACTGCCTTTACCACATCCTGAGAGACGATGCCGCCGCTTCACCTGAAGCCTCACAAGTCAAGTGAAAGCAAAACACCCACAGTCAGTAATTTGCGTCAACTTTTACCACAGGCCACGAGCGCGGGCACATTCAACGCGCCCCGAAAACATCTTTTGGCAGCGCAACAAACCCAGCCCGGGAGGTACCAGGGAGCCATTTTCCGGGTAAACCTGGGAATCTATCTCAGTAAAAATACTGTAATATCAGGGACGGCGGCAGGGAAACGGTATTTCCAGACGCACATTCCCAGAGGCTCGGCCGAGAAGCCGCCAGCCCTGGGCACGGCGGGGAGCGCTGCCCCCTCGGACGCGGCAGGGCGGGAAGCGCCCCCCCAACCCCGCCTCACACCTGGGCCGCGGGTACCTGTGTGGTGACGAAGCCCTCGTAGGCGGTTCCCCGGCGGTTCTGAGGCAGCAGCAGCGGGAATCGCCGGAGCAGCGCCCGCGGTCCCGCCATGTTCCCGGCCGGCGCCGCCGCCGTTCGAATGCGAGACCCCGCCCCGCGGCGGCGGCCGGCGCACGCGCCTGAGGGGACGGGAGGGCGGGGCGGGCCCGTGAGGGGCGGAGCGGGAGCCTGAGGGAGGAGCGAAGCCTGAAAGGAGCGCACCTGAGGGGAGGAGCGCACCCGAGGGGGGGGGGGCCGCACCCAAAAGGAGGGTGTCTGAAGGGAGGAGCGCACCTGAGGGGAGCGCGGCTAAAAGGACGGCACCCGAGGGGAGGCGCACCTGAGGGGGGGGGGGGGAAGAGAGCGCGTGCCGCTGAGGGGAGGCGCGCGCCGCGCTGAGGGGCCTGCGCGTGCCGCTGAGGGAGGGAGCGCGTGCCGCTGAGGGGGCGCGCGCGTGCCGAGGGCGGGAAACCGTGAGGGAGAGACCGACCCGCGCCCCTCCCAAAGATGGTGAGGTGAAGCTCCCACAGAACCCCGAGGAGCGGCCCCGACTTCTCTCCCACGGCGAGGAGCGGCTTTTCCAGAGCGCTCCAGGAGCGCGGCTTCCCTGGAGCGGAGCCGGGACGGGGGTTTTCCCCGCGCTTCAGCGCATCCTGAGGGGACGCGCGCCCTGGATTAAGTAAGGAGTAGCTATTAAGTAAGGATAGCTATTAAGCCAAGGTCATAGCAGTCATCTGGCTGTGCCAAGCGGGTTGCGGTGCCGCCCAAGGCAAAGGGTTACTTCTGGCTCGACTTATGCGTTCTTTTTTAAAAATCACATGCTGTTTCCCGCCACAGAATGTTGAGGGTCATTAAAGCTCTTCTGCCCCCTCACACGGGCGTTGGGATAAAAACCTCCCTCTTTTTTCCGGGTGGGCTGCTGCCAGGACCTGACAGCCACTGTGTTTGGGGAAGCCTGAGGAGAAAACTTAGACATTGGTATTTATTGTGTGTTTTTCAGAAAGCATTAAGACTTCGCATATCACTGAGGCTGAGCATCATGAAAGATCTGGCAAGAGTCAATTTTTGCCTAAAGAGACGTGTTTGGGAAAGAAAACACAGCTTTCTGCCTAATTAGACAGGTTTGAGACAGAAAACACAGTTTTACGAAGGGATAGGTGAATTAGCAAAGAAAACAACAAAAAAAAGTTGAAAATCACCAGCGTACCCAGAAAGACACATTGTAGCAGGTCAGTTCTTTGCAAGAATGTTGCTCCAGGCACCCTTTTTGCTCCAGGAGACCTTGGACAATGCAAGACTGTTACCAATACGAGAAACATTTTCTAAATATATGCACAAAAAAAATTTAAATACCCGTGTTCAACCCCTATGCTCAGAGTTGTTCATGTGCCTTTCACTACCCAGCCATGAGCAGTCAATCCAATGCTTCATAGCAAATTGCATCCTTCGTGTTATCTATTAATTTAATTTTGACCAAAACATTTCTGCTCTTGAGCTGTTTTCTCTCAGTATGCAGTACACTAGAAATCCCTTTATTTAGTTGTGAAGTATCTCTGTGCTTTACCGAGTACACTGATTATTTCTTAATTGCATCAAATGCAACACTGAAAAAGGGGTTTTTTTCTTCTTCTTTTGGCCATGTTTATAGTAGTCTCTGTCATAAAAAGAATGTCAAGTCACTTTAGCCAAGTGCAGTTATGGAGCAATGTATCTAAATAAAAATGCTGTAATATATCAGAACCATAAAACATTTTAGTACTGGGCTCAGAAAACATTAATCATTATCTTACACTGTACATACTGCACACTTTTAAATTTTGCATAAAAATGCAATTACTTGAAACATCATGTTACGTTGAGCAGGCACACAGACTTCAGCAGTTTTAAAGCAGGAAAGGAACAAAAAAGAGCAAGAGAGAGGTTGGACAGGTCTGCTTCTCAAGGGAAAGGAGTACTGATCTGATCTTTCAGCCACAGGCCACATTTACCAATTTAATTACAATTACTGTTTGCCAGAAGAATCATAATGGAGTGCGTTATTAATTATTTGTCCATTCAAATATCACATTGAGCCGGTTAAGTCATCAATAAAATCATTACTTGAGTGGCAAAACAAACAATGTGCAGAGCAAACACTTGAAAGCATCAATTTCTAGGCTAGATGTTGTTAGTAAAGTTACCCCACAAACAGAATTCACATGGAAACACATTGAAATAATGCAGATTTTTTTTAAGAGTTCGGCTTTTTTTACTTATGTAAGGATATTATGAAAGGCAAGAAAATAACAGTGCATTGTTCTCCAGCACTAGTATCTCCAGCAGAAAACAATCAATTTAAAGCAATGCAAAATGGCTAATACTGTTATTGCTGTCCTTTTTCATAACTCAGTGTCATTTTATTCATCTTGCCCCTAAGAAATGACCTTTTCTGTGCATATCCCCACCTTTTTCCACAAATCCCCTGAGTGACAGAATCTCATCCTAATCCCATTTCCATTTAGATGTTGCAGAAAAGCACTGTAGACCTTCGAGGGAATAAGTAATCATAATGGAAAGATAATAATATGTTTATGAAATCTGGATTTTATAATAGCAAATTGAAAAATTACAATAGTATTCCAAGCCACTGAAGGTCAATGTTACCAAGAGCAAAAAGCCATTGATCAAGTGTGCTTAAAGTTTCCTACTTTAGGTTAATTTTTAACACAAAACATCTCTATTTCAGAGAGCAGCATCTCTCTTCTGAGGCAATTCCTCATCTACCTAGTGATCACAAAACCTGGTGTTAAAGCCAGTAGTTGTTTGTAAGGAAAAATATACTCAATATTTTTCTACAGACCTAAAAAGCACAGAACAACTTCACGGGCCTGTACAAAATGCACCATAGGCCACAGTTTAAGAACTCCAGCCCTTAGTAATTCTTAAAGGTAAAAACATATGTAAAAACTCATGAATAAATATATCAAAATACTACTTTCAATATTATACAGTTGTACCTTTTTCTACTAGAGGTAAATTTGCTTGCTTATGCCTAAAAAGGACATCCAAGTTGTACATGCAGAAAACCACTGAAACTTCATTGAGGTCCTAGATAAAAAAAAACCCAAAACCAACCAAAACCAAGCACTTAAACTATGTCCTCAGCTAATTAAGGAGTTTCTCCCTCTCTTTGAGCTTCAGCTTTCCACTGTTTTAAAACCCAGCTCAGACACACCAAGAGCCACTGGGACTAGATGGAGTTTTCTGTGATTAAACCAGTAATTGTTACCTGAAAAAAGATTTTATTGTACTCCTGCTCCCCCTGAACGGCTTAGTGCTGCTGCCAAGGCAGTTGTGCTCCTCCCTTCACCCTGGTCCTGGCCCTGCAGCCCCTTCTCTGTTATCCCAGCTCTGGTTCCCGGTCAATCCCCTTGTACAATGGGGCAGTTCGTTCACTGATGAAAAGCTAATTGGTTTTTTTTTGCTGAGTTCACTTTAGGCTGGCCTGACTCGCTGAAGCTGTGACACGAGCACCAGAGCTGACATGAAGAGAGCATCAGGAGAGCACATCCACAAACCAAACCACCCCTTTTGGAGACAAGATGTGAAATCAGATGCTGCAAGAGCACACAGGTGAGAACCACCACCCTGCCAGGCCACAGCCTATTGCTGGCACAGTTTTTGTATGTACTGCTTCCTTTGTTTATCCAAGAAATTCTTGCTACAAAATACTTCTTGCTGAGGTTCCATGGGGATCTCCCAGCAGCCTTCCTGTACCTGAAGGGTGCCTAAAGGAAGCTGGAGAGGAATTCTTCATCAGGAAGCATAGTGAGAGGACAAGGGGGATTGTCTTCAAACTGAGACAGAGTAGGTTTAGAATAGATGTTAGGAAGAAATTCCTCCCTGTGAGGGTGGGGAGGCCCTGGCACGGGTTGCCCAGAGAAGCTGTGGCTGCCCCATCCCTGGAAGTGTTCCAGACTAGGTTGGACAGAGCATGGAGCAACTTGGGCTAGTGGAAGGTGTCCCTGCCCATAGCAGGGGTTGGAACTGGATGGTCTTTAAGGCCCCTTCCAACCCAAACCACTCTATGATTCCATTTGCATTGAGTTGTCTACACTGTGCTTTTTATTTCTGGCTGTTTTAAAACCATTTTGCATCATTAAGAATTCACAAACTCGGAGGCCCTGGACATGTCCATCATAACACCTTGGTACAAAACAGTGCAGCTGCCCACAAATGTGTCTGAAGCAGCAAATGCCTCTGTTGTGATGATTCTGAATGCAATTATTCTTCTGTATTTAAGAAGTTTAACATTAGAAAACATACACAGGTGACCAAACCAGTTATCTATTAACAGCATGAACTGATTAAGTAAGCCCTGGCTATTTTAAACTGTTTTGGGGCTAGAGGGCTCTCAAGGCTCATGTTCATCTTTGTACATATAGGCAAAGTCTTGGAACTATTTTTGGCAGATGACCCAGCAAAATGAGTGATGCATGAGCATTAATGCATTCACATAAATTAACTCTGCACATAAAAAACACAGCCTTTAAGCCCAATTACATCTTTCCCAATTGCACAAATACTCCCTTTGCAGTCAGTGGCAACTCAAGAAGACGAGGCCAATCCATATGTTATATTGATTCTAAAGGCACAAGAGTCTGCAGTTAATCCCTTTCAAACCTTGCAGAGCACAAACTCTTGGAGATCTTCCAAGCAGCCAGATGAAAGTTGCCTTTCAGAACCAGGGAATGTGTGTTGTCAGAGATTCCAAAACATGCTGGGCCAAAATCTGGCCTTGCTTTTACCAGTGTAAAGTGGGACTATTTCAGGAGAGATGTGTATTCATCCACCAATATAAAACTGATCATTATCTCACAAAAAGGTCTGTAATGCTAACACGCCTTCCTGTTAATTCCCAAGAAAATCAAAGCACAGATCAACAAATGAAAAGGCCTTGTTCCAGCTAGAAATGTTGTAACCCTTAAAACATTTGTCAGACACTTCATAACAATTCTGAGAGTCTTCTGTGCTGCTAATAGGTTTTACCTGGAGATAATTCAGATATCAGAGTGATGACTGACAGTGTAAATCTTCCCAGATAAGTAAAAAACTGAGCGTCATTTTCCAGGTTTCTTCACCACAATTTAGAAAGCTTACATAATAAAAACAAATTTTGAAGCAAAGCAAAACGTGTTTTTATAAATTGCACGGTGAAATAAGCCTGCAAAACTAAAAGGACCTAACTTTGCATTTTTAAATGATAAAACTACTCCCTATTCCCAGATTGCTGGGAAGTGCTAAGTATACTCTCAGCAAACACTAATTTTTAGAACACTAAGGGCAGGATTTTTAGAACACCAAGGGCAGAAAGGTAAGACCTCACTACCCAGTCCATTAAGATTATGTTTAACTACTTTTAACTCTTGAACCATTTTAAAGAGTTGCCTCAAAACTCACAGAAAAAAACAGCCATTATTGACAAATAGTCATTGATAAATTGGGGAAAATCCATTATTTGTCTTAGAAACAAAGAAATTTTAAATGTAGACAGAACAATAAGTATTATGGGATTATGGCTTAAAAATTCACTGTATATGCACCTTATGAAGAAAGTTACTCTTTGTCTAAATTAAGAAAGCCAGAAGATGCAACTCCAGTGATTTTACACTAAGCAAAGAGTTTACATTATAAAGTTAAATGTAATAAAGTGCTATAACTGTTTTAAGTAAGTGCCTAAGAGGAGCACGGACTATAAGAGCAGAGAATACTGTGCAGAAATTAGAAAGAAAAGAGAAAAATACATAATGTATGATGTAAAAAAGAAACAGATAACGAAAATTAAAAGGATTTTACTAGAGGAAAACAATTTCATTTTATTGTACAGCTCTAAATGAATAAAATAAAGTCTTTGAATGTGAAGATGATTAAAAAGACAAAATCATTAGCTAAAGATATTTACAAGTTTAGACTTTCATTTTGATTGTAATTTTAATTAGCTGGACACTAGGGGGGATGAAAATGAAAGCCTACATCATCTACTTACTCTTTAAATTGCATTCCACCTTAATTTTCTGCTCTTCAGTTCTTAATTTTCTCTATTTTTGTTCTAACTAATCCGGTTATCAGAATAAAGTGATTTTCTCTCAGCCAGGTTTAACATTCAGTATTTGAGTCTGTGAACCAAAAGTTCATCCCACTGCTTCAATTTTTATTCTTTCAATAGCAGGAACTCTCCAGGAAACTTTTCCAGTCTTTTGTCTGTTCAGCGGGGTGCTTTATGTACACACGACAGTTATGTAGCTAATAAGAAAGGATTCTATTTTAAAAATAATTATGTTCCATTTACACAGTTTCCCATGAAATTTACTCATAAAATGCAGGATGCACCGAAAGATTAAATGCCATTTTCCTCTTCATTAAAGCCATTTTTCTAAATGTAACTGAGTTATTTGCCTTTTTGTCTTGAAGGAACCACATCCCCAAGCAGAGGTTAGACTCAGTTTATTCTTAAACAAAAGAACTAATTCCATCTTGGCTGTCTCTGCAGGGCACAGTTAACTCCCATTTGGGCCCCCGTGCCAGAGCAGGACAGACAGACACCCCTTCCATGCAGAGCTGCACTGCTGAAAGTGCTGAGGACACTCTTGGCCCAGCTGTGCCTTCTGTGCCCAAACCCCTTCTTCTTCAGAACACAGCAGATCTTCCTGCTTCTACCAAAGCCACCCAGGCTGATTTAAATACTGATTTAAATACTGATTTAAATACTGATTTAAAGACAGTCCAGTCACCATGTGAGCATCCTATCAAGCCTTCTCTCTTTGAAGGATCCCTCAGTCCCTGCCTTGCCCTGGAGATGACCTGTTATCAACTCACTTGGGATTCTTCTGCAAGTTGACTCGCTGGCCCATCTGGATGTAACAGCACCATCAGCACATCAGGGTTTTCATCTGCACTGCACATGGAAAATGCCTTGTAAAAGAGAGCAAAAGCCTCTCTTTCAGCCCTTAACCAGGTTAGCTGCTTTGGGCCAAAAGTATCTACACTGCAATTGATGTTTTCTCTGAAAGGGCAGCAGGAGAGTTAATGTTATCTCAGTAAGTCCTTGTTTCTTTTTTTAAAAAATTCCTTTGGGAGAAATTCAGTCCTAAGAGATGTCTTATATACCATTCTTACGCTGGCTGGATAAAAACCAGCAAGCACAGCTTGATCTTGACAAGATAATTTTATTTCTTTGTTTAAAGCAGTACATTTACAGGCTGTCTTGCTCTGTCTTCTAAGGAAGACAGAGAAGGTTCACTCAAGGCCTTTTTCTAAGAGTTTCCACTGAGAGTATAAACAACCTTCAACAAAGCCTACAAACACCTCTCTGTACCTGAGAGTTCCTCTCATTTTAGAGCCATTTTAGTTCACATCAGCATTGTGCTTTTGAAGTGAATCTCTGATTGTCCTGGTGTCCTGGACTTTGATTCACATCATGATGTGGTATTGAAGCACATGCACCAAATTCCTTTTGGATTAAACAGAAGTGGAAAATGCTGAAATGCACCTAATGCAGTCCAGCTGCAAATGGCCATTTAGTCAAATGAACCCAACTACAGCTTTTTTAGAGCAAAAAGAGGAAAAATGTGACATGGACATCACACCCTCATCAACACACATATTTTACTTTAAATTCACACTCCTCCTGGTCTATAAACACTGTTAATGCAGATGTAAGTTTAAGGATAATCTACTTCAAATTCAGCACTTTTCTATTTCCAGTTTTTCTTCTCTCTCTTTTCTGGAATTCCATGTTCATCATCTAGCCACTCTCTCCCAACTAATTCTCCCAGGTTCACAACTCTGGCAAGATACAGTTGTCTGTTCCCTGGGCAGAACAGCCAATTGCAAATGTTTTATTTAAAACTAAAGGTCCAATTACAGGACCAATTTATGATCTCAGCCGAGCCAATATCAATCTGATCTAGTTCATTGCCTTTAACCTGCCTGCAGTAGCTTTATTCCAGATTTCCTCATGTGTAATGAAATTGAGTTCAGACAATGGCTCTGATTATTACTTTTTAAAGAATTAACTAGTAATGTAAGCTGCAATATGGAGTCCTTCCACCTCTGAAACAAGGCTTCATAATTGTCACTTGTGGGTCAAAAGCATACATTCAGTCCACCAGTGCTTCAAGGACCAAAGTGTTTTAAAGATTTTACTCAAGGAAATGAGAGGTGGGCAAGCCAAGACATGAAAATTTCAGCAACACCACGTGAAAATAAGGACAAAAACTTTGATTTTGTTTTTTCCTTTCCCAGTACATTCCTTTATTCTTATGGCAACATATTTGTGTCATTAAATATGCAATAGAAATCTATATGCAGTTTGAGTTGGGGGTTTTTTTTAAGCACTTAGGAAGAAAACACCATCTCATTTTTTGGCTGTTCTGCAGAATGTGGTTAAAAACCCCAAGCAGGCACATATGGCTTCCATAGTGCACACAGCTACTGAAAAAGTCACTACTGCATAGTCACTTTTCAAACCAGAACTTAAAGTATGTTTGCAAGTTTTAGGTTCAGCATCAAATGTTTTTATTTGGTTGAGGGTTTTGATTTGGGGGATTTTTTTCAGATTTTTTAAACTTTATGCAGTTCAGTGATGTTAGATCTCACAAATAATTCAGTGCTAGTTCTCTTTTGTCTTTTTTTTCCCCCCCTCCTTATTGGTATTATTCAGGGAGTCCAGTTCAGATTTCCCTAGGGAAAAAGAAACAAAACAAACCAAAAAATTTTAAAGACCAGGCAAAAGAAAAAAATGGTAGCGATACTCTTCTGGGCTTCCTCAGTCAGTCCCCTGGTTTTTATGATATCTACTTGTGAATTGAGAATAAGGAAATAATTATTCTTATAGTTAACTTGCTTGTGTTAAAGAGCCCAGTTACCATGACTATTTACCTTCCCCATATCCAAGAAAAATATTTAGGTAAACATGTAAAAAATATTTATTTCAGAGCTGTCCAGATCAGGTACAGGTTTAAGTAGGTGCTATCCTTAGAGAAACTTTGAGCCAAAATTCGTAGATATCTCACTTTACTGCAGGGATTTTTATTTCAATCCCATTACCTAGAAAGAGGTGGAGTAAGTGAATAAATGCTGGTAGTTGATTTTCAGAGTCTACAAGGGAACAGAGACAGAAACTGTCAACAGCAAGAGCACAAAGGGACTGAGCACAGGGTTAACCAGGATTCACTCATTTATACTCAAATGACACTACATACAACACATTAGATATATAATATTAGAGGTATATAATAAAAAGCATGTTTCAATCAGAGCTAAAAGTGAAATTCTTGACAGTGACAAAATTTTCTTGCCCAGGACTCAGAACACAACAACCCAACACAGATCCATCACCTTCTGAGCTTGTTCTGGCCCTGGGTTGAAGCCCGTGCTTGAAATTAGTTTCAGATGCAGTAATCACAGAAAGAAAACACGTGCCAGGGATATAACTTCATAAAGAAACAACAAAACTGAAACAGGTTTAGAGAATTATCCATCAAATTACACTTTTAAGAATGGCTATTAAAATGTTGATGAAAGAATGGAAGATGATGAGTCAGGGACACTAAAAGACCAAACGCTTGGGTTCTACAAGATATTACACTGAGTACTAAGAATTTCACTTTATAACCCAATGTGATTAAACAACATACTGCTGAAAATGCAGATGTTATACTACTACAGTAAAAAAAAAAGTCATTTTTAAAAGATGTTTCTAATTAAATCATGAAAGACCACAAAGAAAACAGGGAGGGGCTTTGCTATGAGTGCAGTCTTATAGAAGGACTCGGATTTGGGGCTGATCTTTGAAGTTTCCTTCTTCAAACTACATGGCCTTGAAGCTATTGAAAGCTTGAAAGATTTTCCTGGTGAAACTGTGTAATTTTATAGTTATGTTGTACTAGTCAGTGATCTGTGTGAGCTGTTTGTAAGGAAGGATTATTTTTAAGGAAAATCTGTTCTCAGGTTGACCTTGGATTCGTGTTTCTAAGGCAGCTAAAGAGAAGGCAACGTTCACAGCAGTGCAAATTGCTGCCAGGAATGTAACATTCAAATCTCAGTTAAGCCTGTTTTAAAATGGCACTGATAAATAGAACACTCACAATAACTCACCAATTTTTCAAACCAGAAGCGTTAATATAAAATAAGGTTTCAGCGAGGACAGTGGGATTTATCAAAATAATCTTTATTTTAAAATAATCCTGGTTTCTTGGGCATTAAGCAAGAAACTTTTCTGAACTAAAAGAAGTTTGAGAATTCTGTTACCTTAGTATTTAGTACTTTAGTATCTGAGCAGTGAGTAGCTGTTAGTTTTGCTGCGTGTATTTACCACTGTGACATTTCACACCACTTGTAAAACTATTGCCATGTTACCTTTATTAATAACATCACAAACTATTTCTGAATTCCTTATTTATGCTCATTTAGAGGTTGCAAGTATTATGCAGTCTTTCCTCATATCTCTTCATCCTGATGGGTTTATTTTTCTTTGATTTTTTAAAATTATTTAGCCTAGAACTTTGTATTTATTGGGAGAAATGGTTTTTTTTATTCAGATGCTTTTCAGCTATTTTCCCAAAACTTGCTATTTCATTTAGAAATATTACTGTTCTTAATGTAAATATTCACTGTCTTTGTAATATCCAAATTGCTTGATACAACAATCCTGTAAAATGACAAGTAATTATACTGAGATATTCACCCTCCAAACAATTACATGGACCACAAAATTTACTAGATTTTTAAAATATTTTACAGGAATATTTATTTTATACTTCTCTAGACTGTATTTATTTAAAATGTTATTGTAATAATTTTTTTCTAGAGTTACCATTTTTCAGTAAGAGAAAAACATCAGCAATCATTCTGACAAACTTTCTCTAGATATTTTTATAAAGAGCAAATAACATTTTTATAGGAAAATAAATCTGAAAAAGTTATTGTCTTTTTCACAATATTTATAAGCTTCAATTAAAAAAAACAACAGAAATAAATGGTTTCAATCCAGCCTTTCAAATGTTCCATGAGTAAGATATTCACATCTGAAACATTCTGCACTGTCACATGTATGTTCAAAATATCACTTAGTGGTCTTTCCATGCTTCCAGTTTAAAAAGAAAATGTTTCTGTTTCAATAAATTTTGGGGGTAGATAAATGTTTATTTGACTTCCTTTTTTTTCCTGACTCTCCAGCAATTTCTGGTTGCAATGAAATTCTCAACAGACCTTGAAAAACCCTCCGTGCTTCTGACTTCTTCCAGGACAATTTGGGAGCTCCTGAACCGCTTCTGGGGTCGCAAAATTCCTTCCAGCGTGAGGAACAGTGGTAAGTTCATACTTAAAAAGCTCTACTTTTGTCAAAATCCCATTAATTGATGACACTGTATATATAATTTGATCAACTGGTGTTTAAAAATTCCTTCCCAAACTGATGTCTCACATCTTGGCACGTTCTGACTCACAGATCCTCAACAAAACACATAAAGAAAGTATTTCTTCCCCTTTTAAAGACAACCCAAAGCAAAACCCCCAACCATTTAAACAAATTCGTTGGAAAAATTCAATGCGTTCAACAACACCATCCTAAAACACCTGATATTTAAAATCTATGGTAAATTTCAAGAACATTTTTCCTGTTCTCCCTACATTACCTCACTTGGATCATTTGTCTTTCAAAGGAGTAGTAAACCTTAATTTGCTTTAGCAGCTTTGAATGGATTTTTATTGTTTCTTCCCACAGCCTTTCAACTCTAGTAATTTGCAAACTAAATATGAACTGCAAAACTCAATCAATCCTGTAGTATTCTTTTAATATCAATTTTTACGTAATTAGCCCCCAAACTGTGTTCAATTACTGACAATTATTCTGATGCACTTTGAGGGACAACACTAATTTCACACTTAGCAGCATTTTAAAAGGAAGGTGATTCAAACACTGTATAAAAAAGTCCCTGTCTCAGTACAGTCTCTCTGCTCAATTCAGCATTGTTGCAGACTTTGGGAGAAAAATAGGATTCCACTGTGGTACAACAGCAGAGCTCAGGTTTTACAAACCCACACACGTGTGTGTGATTCTGTCTGGCTGTGGTTTGTTACATTTGTTGTTACAACACCAAGTAGGCTTATTATAAACTTAGCTGTGCTCTTTTCAAACCAATAAAATTATGGACAAATCCACCTAAATTGATGCACCACATGAAGATTAATGATTAAAGTGACACAATCAGCGTCTCTCAGATTTCTTTCTCAAGTTTTCCTACAGATATCAGGAACATCCCTCTTAGAACTGTTGCAAGGTGCCTTCCCTCAGGTTACAAAATAATATTTTGTCACCTTCAGCCCATTCCTTCTCCCTGTGGAAGGATTTGGTGATGTCACTGTGGTTCCATGGTGATGATCTACAGCTCCTGTTCCATTGGGGTCACTGAAACTATCAGTCACTTTGTAGGGACAAATTATTTTTGTTATACCCATTTTGTTGTTGGACTCTCTGATGGATCTTGTGACAACTGGAAATTCTATTTATTTATGTGCATATTTAAAAGGTTGTCAGTGGAGCCCAGAGCATTGACTGGGTGCTCTTATTAGAGAGCAGTAAATATCCAAATAAAGAAATAAATCAAATGACACCTTCCTCAAACGAGAGTTACAAAATGGAGCTAACAAATATTGATAAGCAGCAGTCTTCAGACCTTCTAAATTATGCTCTGAAGTTTAAGCAGAGGAGACAAGGAAACAGAAGAGTTATTGTCAAAACAGCAGGCACACACTTAACAACAAAAATAACAACCTTTTGCTGGTAAATGACAGCCAGTCTTGGCTCTAGTGTATATCTCAATGATAGGAAGGGAAGTTAGATGGTAAATAAACTTGTGTGCACTGCAAGTCACCAGGAAAAAGTCAAAACTTTATAAAACTGTAGGAGTCAACTACAGCCCGTGCCAGTGACTGCTGAGGTAACACCAGCAACAACAGGAGACTGTCATAATAAAAGGAGGCCCCAAATCATGCTCAGTCAGCAGCACTGAGAAAAAACAAGACCTGACTTGGGGGAAAAAGGTGACCAAACTGCCGTGGAGCCCCTCCAGGACAGAAAAAACTGATGACTGCTGGCTAAGTAGGACCTGTCTGGGGAAAAGGGGGAGCTGTGCATGTGTCAACCCCAGCTGGGAAAGGTGCATTAAAATGCAGAATAACCCAAAGCCCACTGAAGGCTGTAAAATTTGTTTCTGCTGACTCGGGAGACGTCGGAGACTGAACCCACAGGTGACAGCAGCAGCCTCAGAAGCTTTTGCAGACTAAGGAAAGGTAAGATTTTTACAGCATTGCACCTTCTGTAAAGGTACAGAATTAAAAACAAGTAGTAATGCTGAACAATCCACAACTTCACAGCAGCAGTTATCCTCTCTAGAGTGAATAATGGCTGTGAGAATTAGGGGCAAAAAGCACTTGTAACAAACACTAGAATGTTTCTGACAAGAATTTTTTACACTTTATCAGGTAAGTAATATGATTTTAAAATTGGGTTGCTCTAATTAACTAATTGCAGTGGTTTTTAGCATTGTAGATCTAAACTATTATGTAAATTAAAACAAGTTAGCTAAACATTTTATGTTTTGCACAAGAGATCACTAAGGATGTTTTGTACTGGATCACAAAACAAATGTTTTAAAGCTGACAAACTGAAATAGCAAAAGAAAAAATTCAGGTTTCCAAAATTCAGTGAAAGATAAAAGGTCTGGTTAAAACAGTCGGGCACAGAATCTCCTGGAGAAGACTGGAGCTGTATTGTGGGTTCACCTGCTTCTGTTTACCTACTGCAGCAATCCTGGGATGTACCAAACAATCTGTGCAGCAATACCCAGGCACAATATAGCAAGTTAATAACAGAGCTTCAGTCTTAACTGTGAATTCCCTTGCATTAGTTGGTATATTGCTGATACAGACAGGGTTTTGTGGCTTAATACGAGGCAGCACAGAGAGTGTCAGCTGGAAATCCATTTCAGAGTTGTGGAACAATATACAGAATATAATAAAGCCATTGCCACCTCCCCGTTCCTTTCTTGCAGTAGGAAGCCAACATTTAGAAACCCATAGCAAACAAACACCTGCTAAGCATAAATCACGAGCAGGAGCACAGCACTGGACAAGTTCAGAGGGATAGGACGGGAGAAAAAGCCATGAAAAATCTTAATAGTCATTAGGAAAACCTAGCATTTATTTCACAAACTGACAGGTGGCCAGCGAATCGACTTCAGAACAACCATAAAGAGAGAGCTGGTTATTATGCCAGTAAAACTTAAACAGCAGAGCTTTTTAATAAGCTGCACTCTGTTAGGAGTACACTGAGGGAGCCCAAGCAGGAAAAAGCAATAATCACATCTAGCAATAACAAGAGGATCAACTAATATCCATCATAATTTCTCCCTGTTTTGCTTCTCCCTATTAGTATGACATATAGGAGAAGTAGAAGCAGCCTAACAAGACACTGAGCAGAACAGGTGCAGAAACTAAAGCGTCTTCCATTTCGAGAGTCAGCATTTTTCTTTGGAAAAACCTCGGTGTGCCGTGCAGGTTGGAGCCTGGGTTGCCCATTGCTTATCCCCATTGTGTGATGTGTGCACTATTTTATCTCTTCCTGCAGAGTTTGGTTGTGACACACATAACACATGTGCCTGTAAAGTTCCCCCGGCAAGGCGCTGCGAAGGTTCAATATATGTCGTGGCAAGCGTATTTCTTTGTTAATTCCATAAAGACAGGCTGGAGAAGCCAAGCCTCCGACGATTTTTGTGTCCGCGGCGGGGAGAAACGGGCACTTTGCGTGCCATCATTATCCCAGAATTATGGGGGACTGTGTGATACTTTAACTCTTGCCAGAGAACGAGAGTGGAAATGGCACTGCCCCATTCCTAACGCTTAATGTATGACCAATCAGGAGCTGGAAATCATCTGACCGGTGGCAGCTTATGCCATCCCATCAGTTCGTAAATTGGATGCAGTTTGTCAGATGGACACAATATCCCTCCACTGTAGGTGGTCTCTGTTTCATTAGGTTTCAGATTGATGGGAGTGAACAATAATCCAAAAGTGTGCAATAGGTACATCAACCTCATTTTTCATTAACAGTGCTTCCCAGACGTATTGGGAGCAGGTACAAAACATAGATTTTGTTTGGCTTACTTTGATCCGTGCAGAGACTATTGGGTATCTGACTTCGCTGCTGGAGGCTTATGGTTTCGGTTAGCAGAACCTGGTACAGCAACTGGATGAGGTGTTTCTGATATTATCTATTCATTCAGCTCTGATGCAGAAATAGTGGGTGGCAAAGCTGCTAATTTTTTCTTTTTTTTTATGAAGTAATGAGCAACCAACAATTTATTTACATACAAAGCACTGGAGTTACCAGAGCACCTTTCTAAATTACAAGGTAGATACGAGACTGGTAGTGATTTTTTTTTCTCCTTTATTTCCCAAGAGATTAGCAGAAATGTTGGTGCATTTTTGCTGCTTCTAAAAGAAATTAAAAGACTGAAAGTCTTTGCCAGGGTCGCTGAAATGACACACGGAACAGCTACTGGTGCATCTTACACAGTTTTGACTTATGGGGATGCGTTTTACTTCACAGTGAAATAAATTAAAGTAGTATTCAATGTTGCTCAAATACTGAGTAATTGAAAAGGCATTTTTAAACCAGGGGACTTTGGATCCCTGCAAATAATATAATATTTATAAAGCCCACAGAAAAACTGATATTAGACTCTGCAGCAGATGAGTAAGAACCTCTATCATCAGGACTGATAGGGCACCACATGCTTTCACTATCTGTGATATAGTTTTCTTTCTAATTTGTATATTAAGAGAGTCAACCCACATTATTAGCAAGTTAAGCATACTTATTTTAAAAACAAAATCAAAGCCCTAAGTAAAGTATTACAAAGCAAAAATTACATTTTAATGTTAAGACAAATGGATTTTGTTATGTAGAAGTACATAGGCTGTTAATCATGTAACATCAAGCCATCCATGTAGTCAAGACAGGCAATATGGTTTAGTCTTTGGGTGCATTTCTTATCTCAGTTGTACAAGAAGTTTCCATCCCCAATATTTCATTGTCTGGTTCTGAGAAATGTTCCTGAAGATTTAAAGAAACCTCTCCATGTGCACAGCACGAACACCAGCCCTGCTCTGTGTGGGGCTGAGGGAGGGGGAGGCCTGTGTCTGCATGGATTTGGCATGAATTCCTATGGAATGTGCTGGTGCAGGCTCTCACATCATGCCACTCTTTCAACAGCACCTCTTATCATTGTTTAAGAATATCTTTTCATG